CTTCCCCCGAGCTCTGCGGCTCTTAGTTCTCTGAGGAGCCGGGCGCACCGGCCGCCGTGAGCGTTTCGCAGTGTCCCCTGCGCCGCTGAGCAGCCCACGGCCAGGCAGGAGGCCCGCCGAGCCCCGGCTTTGCCGCACGCCTTGGGTTCGGAGTGGGCTGGTGTCATTCTAAAACCTGCCGAGCAGAACGTGCTCGCTCCACCGTTCCTGCTTCCACGGCGTTTGAAACACTAAAGCATGTGTCTGCCCGGCTGGCACGGCTCAGGGGTTGAGCGGCGTAGGAGGTCCCGGTTCAATCCCCGCTTCTGAGCTCCATCCCCAGTGTGAGGCGTGCAGGGGGCAGCTGATCCATGATTCTCTTTCCCTCACTCTCCCTTCCTTTCTGAAATCAATTTAAAATTTTTTTATTGGTTTTCTACAGAGGAAGAGAGAGGGACAGAGAGAAACATCAGCTGCTTCCGGCACACCTATTGGAGATGTGCTTACAACCAAGGAACATGCCCTTGACCGGAATTGAACCCGGGACCCTTCAGTTGAAATATGGAAGCAACCATACTTGGGTAAAAACTGCTGTTTGAATTTTAACCCTGCTATTTTGGCTTCTGTACCTGCTTAAACATAGGGTGGAGACCAGGAGGCTAAGACCACCTGTGCCTGGGACCAGAAATACAGGATATTGATTCCCACTGACTCAGTAGCTTCAGGGGTAGAAAATGTAGATAACCTTTAGAGATTAACCACTGAGCTCTGCTTCTGTATTATCGGCCATTGCAAGACAGGGCCACATTCCAATGTTCCCAGCCTTTAGAATTTAGAACAGAGGAAAATTCCTGTGGTTTGGACCTTTAAAAAGACTTGCCTACACCTGGGACAATGCGGTTGTGTGGACTCCACCTGCGTGTGGTGCTCTTGCGCCATCCTGGCCAGTTTTTCAATAAATCCTTGCCTGCTTTTTTTAGTCATCAGCCTCCAGTGGTCTTATTTTGAACCCAGGGTTCGACCCCACAACACGGTCTGTAGGCTGATGCTCTATCCATTGAGCCAAATCAGTTAGGGCAATAAAAATTTTTTTATAAGAAAAAGAATATGGTAAGGACATTCATTAACCCAAACCCTCCTGCTGGGCCCTGATTACCTACACGGCAATGACTCTAGGAATTTGAAGCTTTGCTAGGACTGTAAGTGACTCATACAAATTAGATGGAGGAGCCTTGGGGGAGAAATCAGGTTTTCTTGTTAAAGAGTAAGTGTTCAACTCAGCGAGCCAACCCTCCCCCCCCAGGCCTACCCACCCGGGCCTTCTCCCCATCCCCACCCCCCAGGTCTCCCTGAGCGCAGGAATGCCTGCCGCCCAGGAACACTCCCCCAGATGCTGCTCTTTCCTTGCAGAAAAATTCACAGGACTTGGCTTTTTGTTGTATTTGTGGGGATGACACTGCTTAACAAAACTACACAGGTCTCAGGGGCACAATTCTGACAGAGGCAGAGACAGGACGCGGCCCGGCGGTCGTGGTGAGAAATGTCAGTCTGCCCCATGGGCCGTGCCTGTGCTCTCTGGTCACAGAGGCTCCTTCCACCCTGGCTGGGGGTGCAGGGCCCTGGGGGCTCCCTCCTCCCCCGCCGGGAGCTGCCTGTTGTCAGGGGAAGCCCACAGCCTGTGCACACCGCAGGCCTGTGCAATCCCCAGCCCATGAGCTGTGAGCTGCCCCTTTGGTGTGCCCTTTGGCCCACTTCCCCCAGTAATTTTCGTCCTTCTGCCCCATCCGAGCAGCTGGCATATGGGGGGGGGGGGGCGGGCAGCTGTCCGTGGGTGACTGGGCAGGACTGGGATAGGATCCAGCCCTGTCTCTGCGGGACTGGCTCAGGAGAGACAGGCCGCCCCCTTGGCTGTCGGTTACAGTTCTACAACACGCCATCTGCACACCGCACTATGCGTTCAGCACCCAAGTCACGCCTCCATCCATCAGTTCACCCCTCTTTTCCTTCCGCCGGAACCCCGCCTTTGTCTCACTGATGGAAAGATGTGGAAGGCTGGTCAACCTTGAAGCTCTGAAAGGTCAGAGCCAACCACTCCCTATCTAATTGAGACAATGGTAACTGAGGCATTAAGTGGAACCAATCTAATCTAGCATCTTCCAGCACTACTTCCAGTGAGACTTTTCTCAGGAAATCCTACTCGGAAAACAGAGAGACTGAGTTACCTGAATGTCAGCAAGTTAGGGGAGAATACTTGGCAGAATAAAGGGTCAAAATCCCACCACTGTAGGCAATGTCTCCAATATTGCTTTGTGTGTGCACAAAAAGACAAGAAATGGGCACCACCAAAGTCTAAAAATGTCTGACATCACAGGCCGACAAAAATACACTCACTTCCCATCACCCACACATTTCCCACAACTGAGACTCAGTCCCTGCTGCCTTCTCCTCGAACCCCTATGTTCATCAAACCCTGAGAGGACTAGGAAGCTCAGAAAACCTTCTCTGTGGCTCCCGTGCTGTCACCGTACCCTTCCCTTCCCCTCTACCCTTCCTCTCTACCCTCCCCTTCCCCTCTACCCTTCTTTTCCCCTCTACCCTTCCCCTCTACCCTTCCCTTCCCCTCTACCCTCCCCTTCCCCTCTACCCTCCCCTTTCCCTCTACCCTCCCCTTCCCCTCTACCCCCCCTTCCCCTCTACCCTTCCCTTCCCCTCTTCCCTTCCCCTCTACACCCCTTTCCCTCTTCCCTTCCCCTCTACACCCCTTCCCCTCTTCCCTTCTCCTCTACCCTTCCCTTCCCCTCTTCCCTTCCCCTCTACCCTCCCCTTCCCATCTACCCTTCCCTTCCCCTCTACCCTCCCCTTCCCCTCTACCCTTCTTTTCCCCTCTACCCTTCCCCTCTACCCTCCCCTTCCCCTCTACCCCTTCCCTTCCCCTCTATCCTCCCCTCTATCCTTCCCTTCCCCTCTACCCTTCCTCTGTACCCTTCCCTTCCTCTCTCTGCCTCTCCGCACACAGAACAGCAGTCCCCCAGGACACGGAGCCTCCTGTCCTGCAGGGATGGCGGGAGCAGAGTGGGGTGTCAGGGCGGAGCCCAGAAGCCTCCTCCATCCCCAGAACATGAGTCCTCGAGGAAAGGCCCACGGGGTCCCCGCGGCCGGGTGTGCCCCGCCCAGCCTCCACGGGAAAGCGCCTGGAGGCCAGGGCCACGGGTCCGGCCTGGGTAGCGTGGCGGGAGTCTGTGGGGCCATGAGAGCCTCCGGCCGGGGACCCTGGATGCCTTGACCTCGGGGTGGCCTCTGGGGCCTGGGACCACCCTCTTCTTGTGACTCACAGGGTGTGAATGTCACCCCACAGCCACACCCATGTAGTGCCCGGGGCTGGCACCGGCACCTGCCACCGGCGGCCACGGGCGGCAGTGCCCGCACCTGGACGTGTCTCTGCCGGGGCGGGGCTGACGGGTCGGACAGAGGACGCAGCCTCGGGAGCCTCCAGGCATCGGAGGTAGAACCCGGCCGAGCCCACCTCCCGCTGCTCCGCCCGAGGCGTCCCCGAGGCGCCCACGGAGCCTCCCCTCGGGCAGCGGCCTCCGGAGCCCCGTCCCTCCACCCTCCTCCAGGGGCTGCTCTGTCCGTCCTCCACCCTCCTCCGGGGGCTGCTCTGTCCCGGAAACACCCTGACCGGCAGGGAGCCGGGCGCACTGCGCCCCGGAGGGCTGAGGACCTTGGGGCTGCAGGCGGGGCGGAGCTGCTTAAGTGAGATTCTGGGAGCCAGTGGAGCCCATGCTCCTCCCCCGGGGCTCACAGAGTTCCTGGGAGCGCACTGCTCTCAGGTCAAGCACCACGTGGACCCCATCTCAACGTCAGGGTCTCGGTGTGACCCCGAGGGTACGGCTGCCACCCCGAGGCCAACCCCGAGGTCAGCCCCCGAGCCAACCCCCGAGGTCAGCCCCCAGGCCAACCCCGAGGTCAGCCACCACGAGGCCAACCCCCAGGCCAACCCCCAGGCCAACCCCGAGGCCAACCCCGAGGTCAAGGTGCCAGAGCTCATCTAGGGTCACAGCACAGCTGTTCCCGGGGGCACACCGGTTTCCACAGGAACTGAAGGTTCTTCTAGGAAAGGCCCTTAGGCAAGAGGTACAGCTTTACCGTCACCGCCTCCAGCCACGCGCCCGGCTGAAGTCCGGGTCCTAGCGTCCTCCTCTTCCTGGGGGAGCAATTCCTCCCCTCCCTCCCCACCTGTGGGCGTGTGCGGGCGTCTCGGAGCACAGAGCCGCGCCCCACAGCTGGCGGCTCCCCGGACTCTGTCCTCCTGCCAGACTGAGCTCTGAACGGAGAAGGTGTACCCACTAGGGTGCTCATGGGCACAGACCGGCAGCAGGGGCCGGCTGAGGGCGCCTGACACCAACCGAAATGATTGTTGGTGTTTGCGATTCTGCTGCTTCCCGTTGTCAGCGGGGCGCCTGGGCCAGCATGGTCATCGGGTTGGAAACGGGTTAAAAAACAACATTCATTCTGCAGGTTCCTTTACATTTTGAAAATGAACCATAGTATGTTAATAAGCAGCGACTTTATAATCATCCAAAGTGGGTACACACTTGGGGACACTCTATACAAACAGAATAGGGGCTTCTCCACACGGACACGACCTATCGGATTATCCAGGGACGCGCTTGCAGGAATCAGGTTACGAGCAACTCTGAGGTGAGTTTTGGTCGCAGAAAACCACAAGCCCTTCAGAGAAAACGGACTCCTAAACCCAGCCACCACGGCGTCCAGTCTGTCTGCTCCCCCCGCCCCCGCTCCCCAGCGAATACGTGGACAAGGTGCTCAACTTCTCTTCCTAGACCACAGAAAGTTCCATCATTCATTACATTTCTCATAATTACTCTTAAAGCTATAACACCTTTAAACCTGTTTACACACACACACACACCACCCCTGCTTTTACCAAAATAGTGCTACATCCCAGCCTCCGAGTCCTCTCATCAGACCCCTGTGATGCCATGTAAAACATGCAGTACCTTCTGCAGCATGGCTGTCATCTGAACTGTCAGCTCTTCATATCCCCATTCAGTCACTTACCTGAAAGAAGAGAAAAGATCATGTGAGTCTGAAGTCATTTCACGGTATCATCAGCAACAGTTGCCACATTTCTACTACAAATAGGTTTTTACTAGGCATTGATACAAAACTTAAAAGAAAATTGTCATCCTACACGTGTGGCTCAGTGGTTGAGCAATGACCTATAAACCAGGAGGACAAGGTTCAATTCCCGGTCAGGGCACATGCCTGGGTTGCAGGCTGCATCCTTGTGTAGGGTGTGCAGGAGGCAGTTGATCCACGATTCTCATCACTGATGTTTCTATCTCTCTATCCCTCTCCTTTTTTCTCTGAAATTAATTAAAAAATATTTAAAAAACGAAAATTATCACTATCATAAACACAAAAGAGGAAGACAAAAATAGGCTACCCACCACTGGGTAGCCTATTTAAATATGAAGAGCTCAGAAAAGTAGGCAAAATAGAGTAGGTGAAAAGAGAGAAAAACAGTATGTTTAAGAGGAACAGATGGAAGAAATTATCCTATCTAGTAAAAGGCTAATAGCAAATTGACCAAACAGCAGAACGACTGGTCACTATGATGCACACTGACCACCAGGGGGCAGACACTCAACACAGGAGCTGCCCCCTGGTGGTCAGTGCACTCCCACAGGGGGAGCGCCACTCAGCCAGAAGCCCAGCTCACGGCTGCTGAGCGCAGTGTCAGTGGTGGGAGGCTCTCCTGGCTCAGGGCAGGGCTAAGGATGTCGGTCAGCTGGACATCCTCCAAGGGCTCCCTGACTGTGAGAGGGCACGGGTTGGCCGAGGGACCCCCCCACGAGTGCACAAATTTTGTGTACCAGGCCTCTCCTGAGAATATAAGCAAGCTGGAGCAACACTAGCAGTTGAGACGGCCGAGGTCACTGCAAGCTCAGCAGTCTGTTCATTCGCGTCTGAGCTGGTTCACTGCCTTCATTCTACAAACAAATTGACACAAAGCTAGTCCTCAAACCTGCTGCTCTTCCCCAGATAAGCACTGCTTCCGTGTGCAGTTCCATGCACACGCTTGCCAAGCTCATAACTGTTTCATACCTTTTACCGCATCTGCCAGCAGGACTTCTTCCGGGTCCCCTTTCTCAGCCCTGCACGTCCTCATTGAGTTTATTCTCTCTAGAAAGTTCACAGGCTCTTGGAAGTTTCTGGCATTTCTCTGATCACAGGAAAATCTTTTTTTATAGACTAGAGGCCCGGTGCACAAAATTCATGCACTAGAGAGAGTGGGGAGTCCCTCAGCCCGGCCTGCGCCCTCTCTCAGCCTGGAAGCCGCTATTGATCGCCCCCATAGAAGGAGGCCCCGCACACCCACCACAGTGCTGCCACCACAGTGCTGCCTAGGCCTCCCTCTTTGGGGCGATTGTGGAGCCCCCTGATTGATCCATCACCTGCAGGGTGATCATGGGGTGATGGCGGGCCCCCAACCAATCACATCACACCACCTTGCAGGTGCCAGTTGGTATCATGGCGTGGTTGTCCAGAGGTTGTCTGGACGGTCATTCTGCTGTTTGGTCATTGGGTCGATTTGCATATTACGTTTTATTATTATAGATCTTTATCGTTGAAAGTATTACTTTTCCGTCCCCCTTTTCCTCACTCCCTCCAACCGCCATCCCCCAACCCAGGCCCTCACTACTCACTGGCTGTGTTCAGGGGCCATGCAGACCGCCACACAGGGTCTTAGGTTGGTTACCTCCCACCACCACCCCCACCTTCCCTCCGAGATTCTGCACTCGGTTCCTGCCTCCATGGCTCTGGGTCCACTCCGTCCATCAGTTTATGTTGTTCATTCCATTCCACCTCTGCCCAGCGCCCGCCCGCCCCCCTGCCCGCCCGCCCGCGTGGCGAGGAGCTCCGCGCTGAGGAGGCGCAGCAAGCTGCCTGGCCACTGTGCCCGCTGCCGCGGTCCTGGGCGAAGCTGCAGCAGCCGCACCTCCTGCTGCCATCTTGCCCCTGGTCTGGGGGCTCCTAGTCCCCCGAACATCTCACCCTCATGTTCAGGGAGAGCGTGAGCATGTGGGTGGCAAGGGTCGCCCCAGCTCTCCAGCCCACTCAGCCACTGCCCCTTCGTGTCCTGGGGCCAGTGTAGCTAGTGGACAAAGCTTTCTAATCCCTTCTTTTGTAGGCACTTTTTTATTTAAAAAGTCGGATCCCAGGTGGGAATCTCCCCACCCCCACCTCATAAAGTCTATCAATGTTTGGAAAAAAGAACAAAATTAACAATTAAAAAAATAATAATAATCTTAATTCTTGTTAAAATATAGATTTTAGTTAACAGGCCTTACATGACACTAATTTCTGAGAAAAATTATTCAAAAGTGAAGGCTTTTCTTGATACACTCAAATGCTTTAAAGTAAATTACCTCGAAATGGTGAGTGTGTGCCGTATCTGCTACTGCTGGGCCAAGTGCCCATCACTGTTAGACATTTAACAGACATTTGCCGAGCATTTGCAATGTGCCAAGCATTGTTGAAAATGCCAAGGACATAAAATAAAGTCTATTCTCAAGGAATTTGCATCTAGTGGAGACGATAAATTTATACGGAATATTCCAAAGTAAAAGCAACGGTAACCCACTTTTCCTTGTACACAAAGGAGCAGACGTGCTAGGCCGTGGGCCCTCGATGAAAGTCGGGCTCCGGGATGAGCCTGGGGAGGATTTTCCACTCGCACATACGTGTACAAGAGTGAACACTGAACTCTCAGTAAGTGCTGTTTTCTTAAATATATTTTATCGATCTCAAAGAGAGAGAAACATCAATGATGAGAGAGAATCGTGGATCGGCTGCCTCCTGCATGCTTCACACTGGGAATCGAGCTGCAACCAGGGCCTGTGCCCTGACCGGGGATCAAACCATGACCTCCTGGTTCACAGGCCAACACTCACCCACTGAGCCACACTGATTGGGCTTTCAGTGGTTTTTTTTTTTTTTTTTAACTTTTTTAAAAATATATATTTTATTGATTTTTTACAGAGAAGAAGGGAGAGGATAGAGAGCTAGAAACATTGATGAGAGAGAATCATTGATCAGCTGCTTCCTGCACACCCCCTACTGGGGATGTGCCCGCAACCAATGTACATGCCTTTGACCGGAATCGAACCTGGGACCCTTCAGTCCGCAGACCAACGCTCTATCCACTGAGCTCAGTGATGTTTTATAACCACAGGGAAACACAGAGCACACCCACCTTCCACTCACTCCAAGCACGTACTGATGCCCGCGTGTGACCCTGGTGGGTGGACAGAAAGGAAAGGACAACCCCTGACCTCACCAGGCGGCAGACACTGAGCGGCAACAGCGCTAATGCGATCAGGGACCACGGCGACAGCCAGTGAGTAGCCACGAGAGACATGAATTGTCTCAGGCTGGCAGGATCCTGGGAAGCCCCTTGGGAAAGTTCGACTACAAGAATGGGGTCTGGAAGAACTTAGTACATATTAACCAAAACATGGGAGGGGCGCGTGCAGGCAGCAACCCATCGATGTGCTTCTCTCCCATCGATATCTCTCTCTGTCTCTCCCTCTCTCTTCCAGTCTCTACAATCAGCGGAGCCCTGTTGTTTTTGCTCAGTGGGTAGAGCATCGGCCTGTGGACTGAAGGTCCTGGGTTTGATTCCAGTCAGGGCACTTGCCCGGGTTGTGGCTCGATCCCCAGTAGGCGACATGCAGGAGGCAGCCGGTCAATGTTTCTCTCTCTCTCCCTCTCCCTTCCTCTCTGAAACCAATAAAAACATTTTTTTAAAATCAACGGAAAAATATTAAGTGAGGATTGGAAAAAAAAAACGTAATCAGATAATAAAGACTGTATTTGGACAGCAAACACGCCCAGCAATCTAAGGAGCATTTGCCCTTCTCTGTGCTGGATGAAGCCATCGTCCCCGCCCAGGAGTCTGACCGGAGGACCAGACCTCCAGGCGGAGCTGAAGGTGCCTCTCACAGGTCCTGCGAAGGAGACGGAGGTACTGGAAGGATGGGCAGCTGGGCGGCTGAGGGACAAGAAGGAATTGAGCTGCTGGTGGGTTCTAAAGCAGAACAAGATGGACCAACGCAGGCCTGGTGGGCTAATCTCCGTGATTCTGGGACCCCTGACTGGGAGGAAGGGCCCGAGGCCGTCCCTCGGGCGCCGGGAGTGGCCCACGGCGGTGTCTGACCCGCAGTGGCGGGAACGTTTATTTCGTGACGTGTTCCCTCGGCGCCCACAGCTGAGGCCGCACCGGAGCCCAGCCACGCTGCCCGTCCCCCGCGCTCTGCTCTCTCGCAGGAGCGGCTCTGCAGGCCCCCAGACCACAGAGACAAGGAGGCTCCATCGGCTCTTCACACAGGAGTTCCAGCCCAGCCCTCGGTCTAAAACCCCGAACTCCAGCTCGTCCATCCCCCCAGGTCCAACACGTTTCAGTGGTTAAATCAAAACAGACAGCGGGGCCCATTCTGTGCTAAGACTCTAGGGAGCCCCCTCCAGGCCACACGTTTCTATCACTGCCTCTGACTGTTTTGCAGAGCTTCTTCTCGGAATTTCAAGTTTTCCTATAACTACTTACTGACAGGTCTCATTCATTCCCAGAGTCCCTCGGGGGCATTTATGAAATGAGACCAAATGTGCTTGCATCCTGATGGAGTCATTTTTTCTTGTTATTTTTAAAAAAAATATGTTTATTGATTTCAGAGAGGAAGGGAAAGGGAGAGAGCTAGAAACATCAATGATGAGAGAGAATCCTTGATCGGCTGCCTCCTGCACGCCCCCACACTGGGATCAGGCCTGCATCCCGGGCCTGTGCCCTGAACAGGAATCGAACCAGGACCTCCTGGTTCATAGGTCAACGCTCAACCACTGAGCCACGCCGGTTTCGGCTGAGTCAGTATTTTTAAATCTCTGTTGAAGAATACCCAACTCCCTCCTATCTCTCCTAATCTGGAGCCGCCAGGCCCCGTGCTAGGACAAACTGGAA